AAAATCTAGAATTTTCCATTTAATAATTTCATTTGTGGTTGATCTGTAGATAAGTAGAACCATGGGGGGAGAACCCATTAATAAAGGGAAATACTAGGGTGAATTATGTGAAAGGCACAGAATGAAATAAGAGCATAAAACAGGGGTCCTATCTACATTAAGGAGTTCAGGTATGTCAGGGAAGCTGCCACCTAGAAAAATAAGTTGGAAATAAATGAGCAATGGGAAAGCAGAAAAGAGGGAAAACAAGGGTAGAACTTCCTTTAGAGAGAACAGTTTAGAATAGCAACCCCTGAAGAGAGAAACTCGGTCCTTTCTAAGGAGTTAAAAATAGCTCTGACCAGGGGGAGTAAGAAACTAGTGACCCAGAGACAACTAAAGGTCAGACACTGCAGGGCTTGGAAGCCTCGTGGAGATGTTGTGAGTTTATTTAAGAGCCATAGAAAACCACTGATGGAATTTCATGGAGGCATGATATGCTTAGATTTATGTTTTCTAGTGATCATAGTGACAGTATGGAGAAAAAATAAATCCTAGGATCCTACAGTTTTGTCAACATTGCATTTAACATTTTAAACATCTAGGCAGAAGTTTCCTGAATTTGATTTAGCTGCAAAGAAAATTTTCTGTGGGGAAGAATTGCAAGCATCAAGAATAGGTTATTGATAGACAACATGAAATTTGATGCATTGGAAATGGTAATAGGCAAAATTCTTAGATGATACTCTTGCTTGGTTTGCTTCCTTGGTTTACATTACATGTCAAAAGGGGCTGGGTGAATCTGAGTACATTTACCGACCAGCTTGCTTTAAGAAGAGGGAATGACCATAGAGACTTTGACGTAACCACAGGAGGTTAGCCTTCTCTGAGACGACGGGGCCAGGGGCAAATAACTGAAACGGTTTCTAATATCTAAGCATGATTCATGGTCAATAGCCAGCAAGAAAATGAGGATCTCAATCCTACAACCGCACACAACTAAATTCTGCCGGTATTCTAAGCTAGCTCAGAAGCCAAGGATTCCACAGAGGTTCCAAATAAGAGCTCAGCTCAGCAGACATGCAGACTTTTACATTGTAGTCATGGTACCCAACTGAGCCCACCGGCGACCTGCAGAGCCATGAGACAGTAAATGTGAACTCTATTAATCTACTCTATTTGTGGTTATCTATTACACATCAATGGGAAACTAACACCGAAATCATTTTTTTTAAATCTATGTTATAGTGACCCTTTCCATGAGTGTCCTTATTGGTGCTGTTGTGACTGCCTTACAGTCTTCAGTTGATTCAAAATGATAACCCTGTGTGGTCATGTTGCCTCTGCGGAAGAGCCAGAAGTGGCGTAGTGCCAGAGTCAGCTAATGAGATGGATGAGGGCACACTGTAATAGTTTGCCAAGTTGGCCTTGCCCCTGGATGGCTCCGGGCAGCAACATTCACCAGAATTTGTTTGTCATGTCTCATAGACACAAAAGAGAACATCCAGAGCTGCTCCGGAAAGTAGCAAGAGGGATGGGATAAGTGTGATCGAAGTGAGGGGAAGTATTCTGAGGGGGTTATTAGCAATATATCTTCTGCTGTGATAAATTTTTTAGTTTACGTTTTCACTGTATTTTTCAATCACCCGTGCACTCTGGTATCCAATTTCTAAAAATATAGTCCCTTACATAGCAGATTTTCAAAATCTTATATCTTCCCATATATAGATGCTGTGGTGTAGAACGTTCACTACCCCTACCCGTTCTTACTTCAGAAATCCTAAATATCATGTTTGAAAGTATTTTGCGCCTTACAGAAATACAGTCGGCAAACTCCAGCCCACTGCATGTCTTTGCAAACAGGCCCGTTTGTTAGCAGAGTTGTTTAGCAGCAAAAGAGACCATATGGCCTACAAAAACAAAAGTATTCACTATCTTGTCCTTTACATAGCAAGTTTACTAACTCTGCAGATAGAATATTGATTAAGCACTATATTTAGCCTACAAGATTTCAAATCTCTGTTCTGGAGGTAACCAGTTATATGGTTTCAAACAAATTACTTAGCCATTTTCCTATCTATGTGATTAAGGAAATAATGAAATCTATCATTAGACGAAGTAGTCCATGAAAATGTCACAATAAACATTCATAATTCTACTCCTTATTATAGAATTTCTTTAAAATATCAGCTAGATCAACTATTCATCATTACGTGCTTAATTCCAGAATCATCTACTGCAGATTTCAAAAATCTAGCAGTACATAAAGACCACTTCATATTTAACTGTTCTGGTAGAAATTTCTTTCTTTTACTAGGTTGAAATTTATCTCCTCATAGCACTATGCTATAAATCCTAACACAATCTTCTTGGATTCCAGAAGAAATGTTAGCTTCTTCAAATATTTGAAAAGGGTTTCTTGAAATTTGATCTTATTAAGATTACATATCTTTAGTTTGTTTTTAATTATTCCTCCTTTCTCACTTTGGTAATTCCCTTAATAGTAGTATATAAAACATTTACCCAGAAATTAGCAAAAGACTCCAAGCCTACAGATGGATAGAGGCCCTAAACTATCTATATTATGTTTTAGGATGTGTATTTTGTGCTACCCAGGTTTTTCCAGTATCTCGTGCTCTAAAACAGTTGGCTTTTATTTAAAAACATCTTGAGACAGCATGCTGCCCTTACCCTTTTTGTGTTTCATGTTTAATCTTATGTCTTTCAAGATGTAGATGCTATAGTATAGAATGTTCACTGCCCCTACCAATTCTATATCTTTTTCATACATTTCTGATGTATCATTAATAAATATTCTATCAATTAGCATTTAACACTGAGTAGACCAGAACTGGCTTAAAGCAACTGAGCAGTGTGTTAATAATTGCACACTTTCCCTCGAACTTCCACTGACATTAATCTCTGGGTTTTTTTTTTTTCACCAGTCTCACTTGAGATGTTATTCTTGTTAGTGAAAAGAGTTGGATAAAAGTGTAACATTTCTCTGTCTTTTTCAATATTACATTTTAGAACAACCTATGTATCTGCAGTAAGAGTTCTAGAGAAATAGAACTAAGAGGAGTATTTTAGGAAATACTCACAATCTCCTGGATTGTGGAGACTTGGAAGTACAAAATTTCCAGGGTAGGCTAGCAGGCGAGAGACACAGGGAAGAGTACAGTTCGAGTCCAAAAGTAGAATGCTGCCAGAATTCCTTTGTGCTCACTGGAGGTCAGCCTTATTCTGTTAACACCCTCACCTGGCTGGACAAGGCCCAACCACATCATGGAGGGCAACACACCTTGCTCGGTGTCTAATGATTTCAAGAGCATGGAGATGTCGCAAAAAGCTAAAGTCAGAAATACCATTTGACCCAGTTATTTCCCTTCCAGGTAACTTCCCCAAAGAGCTTCAGACATTCTACTACAGTGGTACATGCATACCAACGTTTATAGCAGCACAATTCATAATAGCTAAATCCTGGAAGCAGCCTGTATACCCATCATACCCATCAATGGATAATTGGATAATGAAAATGTTGTCTCTCTACATGTTGATATACTACACAGCTATAAATAAGGACAAATTTGAGACTTTTGTAGGAAAATGGATGCACCCGGAAAATACAATGTTGAGTGAAATAAACCAAATACACAAGTTTAAATACCATATGGTATCTCTCATTTGAGTGAGGCAAACAAAGAGATTAGTAAAGGATAGATAGAAGGAGGTGGGGAGGATTTCTTGCAAGTGGGAAGGTGTCCAATAGAGGAAGGGCAAAGGATGAAGGGGAGGGAAAAGGGAAATAAGTAGAATAAAGACATGCCATGCACAGGAACTTAATTACCTCAGTGGATGTAAAGACTGTATGCCATAAATATGTGCTAAGAATGAAGATTGGGAAAGGGGAATAGAGGAAGAGAAAGAGGGGGATGAAAGTGGGAGGGGATTTTTAATACCATTTGTTTTGTTTTGTTTTGACCGGGGATCAAATTCAGGTCCCTTGAGCTTGCGAGGCAGGCAGCGGAACCACTGAGCTAAATTCCCTGCCCAGGAGGGGATTTTTAAAAAGAAATAAGTTGTACTACGTACAGTACCCACCCCTCAAGGTGCCTATCAACTGCATGCACGACAAACAAGTATTATAAGTAAATGAATTTTTTTAAAAAGTCAATCTAATCCAAAAAGACACTGTCATAGAAACATCCAGAGTAATGTTTTAGCCAAATAGCCAGCCACCATGACTCAGTCAAGTTGACACATAAAATTAACTCTCACAGGATCTCTTTTTAAATTTTTCTTTCTTGCCAATAAAATAATACCCTATATGAAGCCATGATTTTTGTATTAATAATTAGCCCTTTTATAGAACCATGATCCATTACACAGTTGTGTGTCTTCCTGACAAGATAATCATGGTAAAATATAACCAATTCATTTTTGTTACTATATATAAATACAGTATCTTACCACATACCTTGATTTCCTATTTTCTGAGTCCACATCACCAGCCAATTTTATATGTACCTAAGAAAAGATTGGAAGTGGAGAGACATGAGAATGTAATTGTGATGTTTAAGGTTAGGCCTACCACATTTTTGAATCTATATGTAACTAAAAGCAAGAGTGTGTTTATATTTCTTAATTCAGTCACATATTTTAGAAATTCCACTTTTTATATTTAAAAATTTTAACTGACATTTTAAATGCCGATGCTATACTTTCAAATGATTTCACAAGATTATCAAAAAAATGTCTGTATAAAATGATGTACAAAGCATTAGATACTGATTCAATACATTATTTGTAATAAAAATCTATTGAATAAAAAAATCCCAACATAGTGTTTAGGCAAATGATAGTAAACTAATATTTTGGCTCCATGTGTTTACGAAGCTTAGTTTTAAGATGTGAAATTTTTTTATCTTGGTTAGCTAACCAGAGACTTTGAGAGATTTTAAGATGTTTTACGAGTACTGCTAATGATTCACTATTCTCTTTTATTGTTTCCCCCTCTTTAGGTTTGGATGTGTGGAGGAGAAATGTTCGATGTCCCGTGTTCTAGAGTTGGTCACATCTACAGGAAGTATGTCCCTTATAAAGTTCCTTCTGGGACCAGCCTGGCAAGGGTGAGTAACTGGATGTCAGTACTGGCTGGGTCTCAGCTGGCTTTCTGTAGGCAGAGTAACCAGCCTCGTGGTATCATCAAAACCACGGTCTGAGAGAAACTTTGGTATATAGAGAGTTCATGTGATTCTCAGAGTTTAATTTCCATTGCTTAAGGAACTTTTGGACTGTTACACTAATTCTTATTATTCATTGTTTTAAAGCAGTGCCACATATATTTTATTGAGACTTGACATTATCTTTTGAGGTTGGTATCATCTTTATTTTGTGGAGGAAAAAGTGGATGCTTAGTGAGCAGATACATTCCTGCTCACATGAATGACAAGAGCAGGGTAGGAGTGTAGGCCCAAGTCAACAGAATGGACCACCAGTTCTTTTGCCCAAATATGGAATTAACAGCATGCATAATTAGTCAGATGGAGACAGGAAAAACTAAGCGGTGGGGGCCCAAACTCTAGCTGCTTCTCTTTTGTAGCAAGAACCAGCCCTGCTGAAAACTACTCCATCCTCAAAATTCCAAAATTGACGAAGTCTAGATTTTTTTAATCAGATATTGTTTTGAATCAAATTTTCTTATAGACCAAATGCAAATATGATTTTCGGTTCTGACTTTTAGAATGTATTTGTGAAATTTGGGAGGATATAGTCATAATACCTTCACCAAACAATCCTGGCAATTTCCATTTCCTGTGTTATTTTATTAATGGCAGGGTCAGTTCTCTTCACCATAATATATACCTGCCACTGCACAGATGCCCAGCCTAAGTGGTGTTTTACCACATCCCTTTGCATGGGAATCTCATAAATTATTCATTTCTGTTCATTGATTAGTAAGGCTGCAATATATACTTCTTGGATCTTTTATATAAAGCTCAATAAGCTCAAGAAAAATAAAATAAACTACTTGTGGGGATTCATTAGAATACCAATCCCATAATGGCAATATTTTGTCTGTGATATTGGAATATTTGTGAGAGGAGTTAATTAACCAGAAAAACTGATAAAAATTCAAGCTGTTAATAAAATATAAAAATTTTAATGAAATCTAATGAAAATTTTATTCATAGTGATTCTCTTATGGAAGAATCTTTCTTATTCCCTCTCTCATATTTCCAACAATATCCATTTTTTCTTTAGCAACATCCATAATCTTTTTTAAAGCAGTAAAAATTTATAGAAAGAAGTCACACTACACACCTCGTGAAGGGAAATAGTCATATTATCCCTTCCTTCAAAATAATGAACATGTTCTGCTGAGTAGATACAAAAATATTGTATTTGAAGAAAAGAAACCAACCACCAAATTTTAAGTGATTAAAAAACTGCATTGTGGATAAGGAAATGCAATTTAATTTATCTCATAAAACATAATATATGTAAATGAGAAAATGAAAAGAATTCATGAGAATGAAGATTAAACAGTTTCGAGCACTAATCAACCGTGTAGATATCATAGACCATAGCAGTTTAAAATATTTTAACAATGAAGAAATTCCATCATTTATCCATTGTATTCCCTCATACACTTCCCAGCTCGTGCCCTGAAGTGACTCTCCCATTTGAAGGATGGATGGTGCATACGTCTGGTTTGTAGTCAAAAGCATTGTGTAAAGCATGGGCTAGGAAAGTTGTGCTGATCCAAAGGGTTTATTTTCAAAAAGCAGAGGTGTTCATATATTTTTGAGAGAGATATGAAGTACTTTTTCAAGAACTGTCAAATATAGGAAACTAGGGCTGGCACATAAAACTTCTGAGAAAAAAAAAGGCTGTTCATTCAAATAAAAAAGTCCATAATTCTGAATTTTAATCTTTTCCACTTAAATTTTCTTGAGGTCTCATTTAATTTTTTTCCTAACTGCTAGAGCAATCAGAAAGTTATAAATATTGAAGCTCAGCTGTCACTCTAAGGAACACTTTATGATTTGTAAGTTTAAAAAAGTATATTAAAATGAAAAACAATTCTGATATTTTGTGGGAGAACCTAAAATGCCTTGCTACACTCCACATTATCACTAAATCATCAAAAATGATGACAGACTGTAAAGATGCCTGAAATGCAGGGCCATATCTACTCAACACATATCATACTCTTCCTCCCCTCCTTAGGAAATAGAGGTTTTCATACTTTACAAAACTCTTTTAATTCTTCAAAAATCTGCACCATTCGTTTATGTACCTATGTAAATTGACAATTCCAGCAGATTTCTAAAATACACAAGTATACACAGATACACAAATGTGTGAACAGCCCACCCTTCCTCTATGTAGCGCACCAGTATGATTTACAGAAATCAATTCAAATAATATTGGCAGTATCTTCTATTTACCTAGAATTACAATGTAATTGAAAGAGACAATCATCCATACATGAAAGCATTAGAGGACAATACAAGTTGAGCAACTGTCCAAAAATAATATGAAGACACACATAAACAGAGGGAGAAGGAGGCGGTGACATCATAGCTGTGACCTTCAGTCTTCTCAAATTGAGGGACTTGAAAGAAGACCTTCAAGAGTATCTCAATCACATTAATAAGTTTCACAGAACAGTGGTTGCCAGATTCAGGCAGCAGCCAAGACAGGATTCCAAGTTTTCACCTAACTTCACTGAATTAAGAAAAATAAGCATCACAAAGCCAAAGCTGTTCAATTTAATAATGTCCTTTTGATGCAGCAATGTGAGCTTTTTCTTTTCTGTGACAGGATTTCAGACAGCAAGGTGCTGTTAATGCTTTTCTTTCACAAAAACTAGCATTCCTATGACATTTTCCACAAAATGCAAAATTCTGAGACACAACGACTTACAATTCAACAATTTCTAAGAATCCGAGTCTTTGTTTGGCATTAATAAGCCCATGTATCTTCTGAACTGTTTGAGGGCCTAATGTCAGTTACCAGGAAAGTGCTGTGGTTTCTTTTCATTGGGATACACAGGAAACCCCTAAAGGACAGGATGATCATCTATAGAGTTGTAGGAAACTAGAAAGACCAGAGCTGTGGGGACAATCTTCCCTTCTTTGAGATAGAAATGACCATCCTTTTTTTTTTCTTTTTATTGAGTTTCTTGGTACAATCTAGGTATACAATACAGTTACACTCATTATTGGGATCCTGTACCTTTACATGACAGGTCTTGATTCTCATTTTTTCCCATTGTCCCTTCCCCCCCTTCACCCCCTCCTCCTCTCCCCATTTACAAACACTTTATTTCCATTTTTTCAATGTCTCATATTTTTTTTCTTCTCCCTTATTACCTTTCCCCCACCCTTCCCACTTTCCCTGCACCTTTAGCCCTTTACTTCCTATTTCACATTATTAATTATCTCATTAGGATCTTGTGTACTATTATAGTTGTGAAATACCAGAGAAACTATTTGGTATTTCAGTTAAAGAAATCTCTGTATGAACATTAAAAATAGGGAATCCTAAAATAAAACTAAAAAGGAAAGTAAAAGAGAAAAGGCAATGATGTAAGATTAAAATAATCCTTAATTCTGAAGATGAAAATGGTCCCTGAACATATTTAAATTGCTTCTTGCTCTTGTAGTCTTATCTTATTCTATTTTTTCATTATTTAGAGAATATTTTATTAATTTCTTTAATTAAACCCAGTAGATATGACCTTACATATTTAATACAGTGTGTTACACCTGTACAACTGGAAAAATAAAATAAAATAAAAATTAAAAAATTAACATTTCTAGACCAATATGGCTGTCAATTTCTGGACAATGCCAACTCAACACAGTAAGTTGGGATAACTTTTTCCAAAGTTGACAGCATAGTTAAAGTTTCCAAAAATTCAAATTATATATCTATATGTATATATATATTTATATTTATATAAAAAGACCAATAATACCAGTATGTTATGCATCAATAGCAGCAACAGCTTTTCCAGGTTCTGCAGTCATCTGAACAAAATTATAGACATTCAGCACATTCCACTAAAAAAACAAAAAAAAAAGAATAATATCCAGAAAACAGCGAAGTTCTGTTGCTGTTGTGGTCCCTGGCACCACTTTTTTTTTTTTTTTAGCATCTGGAAAGAGAACATTCTAGAGTAATATCATTAAAAATAGCTCTGATAAAGCACGGTCACTACTACATATCATAAAGCAGGTACAAGCTATTTTACATTCACAGAGGTATGATACAGTACCGCCCTACATCAATAATACTAGAATCAATTTTGCCTTGAAATTTGCTTTGTCTGCAAATAACATTGCTACGCCTGCTTTTCTCTGGGCTCCTGTCACATGGAGAATTGTTTTCCATCCTTTCACTTTCGGTCTACGGGCTTCTTTTTCCACTAGGTGTGATTCTCATATACAACATATGGTTGGATTTTACTTCTTATTCCATTTTGCCACTCTATTTCTCTTGATTGGTGAGTTGAGGCCATTGATATTGATGGTTATAACTGATACGTACTGACTTATTATTGACATGTTATTGGCCTTTTGTTGACTCTTTACTTTTTCACCTTCTCCTTTTAGTTTCTTGCCTTGCCTATTTGATCTGCTCTGTTAGACCTCATGGTGTTGTTGCCTTCATTATCTTTTTCTAGGATATTGTTTAGAATTGCTTGTAGTGCTGGTTTGGTATTCATGTAGTTTCTCAGGTGTTCTTTGTCGTGGAAGTATCTTATTTCCCCATCCATTTTGAAAGAGAGTTTTGCTGGATACATCAGTCTAGGTTGGAAGTTGTTCTCTTTTAGTACTTGAAATATCTCACTCCAGGCTCTCCTTGCCCCAAGGGTTTGTGTTGAAAAGTCTGCTGTGATTCTGATTGGCTTTCGTTTGCATGTGATTTGTTTATTTTCTCTTACTGCTTGTAGTATTTTGTTCTTCTGTTGGGTTTCTGGGATCTTGATTATTATATGTCTAGGTGTAGATTTTTTTTTTTTATTGTGGCTAGTTGGGGTCCTGTATGCCTCACTTATCTGAATGTCAAATTCTTCCCCTCTGTTTGGGAAGTTTCCTGTCATTAATTCTGTGAA